TTGTCATTGTTTCAATCTCATTATGTTTAGACTATGATTAAGAAATTTAAGGCATAAGATGATAATCTAGTCAAAACACCTAAAAATTTAAGTCTACACCAAACCAAAAATACTGGTAAACTCGTATCACAATTGGAATATTATTCTGTTATAGGCAGCTTAATGTATATTTCAAATTGCACGCATCCAGATATAGCATATGTAGTTAGCAAATTAAGCAGATTTATAATTAATCTAGGAAATGATAATTGGAAGGCATTTATGAGGGTTCTTAAATATTAAGATACACGATTAAGTGTGAATTACACTATTCTAAATATCCTACGATGTTAGAAGGATATATCGATGCAAATTTGATATTTAATATAAGATAATCAAAGACTACAAGTGATTATGTTTTTACCATTGGAGAAGGAGCCATGTCTTGAAAATCCTCAAATAAACTTGTATAGCTCGATCTATGATGAAATTTGGGTTTATTGCTTTAGATAAAGTTGGAGAACAAGTAGAATAGCTTTGTAACTTTCGAGAGGACATTCCTTGCTAGGATAAGTCGTTACTTGCTATTTGCATATAGTCGACTATCAAAATGACACAAAATAGTATGCATAATGGTAAATTTCAACATATTCATCATAGACACAATACCATTGAACAACTGATTTCAAATGGTATACTCTCTATTAACTATGTTAAATCAAAGGATAACGCAGTGAATCATTTGATGAAAGATTTATCGAGAGCTCAAGTGTACCATCTTTCGTTGGAAATGGACGTAAAGCCTATTAACTAGAATCACCATAGTGGTAATCAATCTCATTAACTGAAGATCTCAATATCTTAGTTCAATGGGACAATTAAGTTATGAATGATTCAAATGAGCACTTATACCTATTCCTTAGCAAATAAATGTGCTACATCGAAAAGTTATCAAGTTATGCTTTTAATGATTCATATACCTTGCAAAAACCAAGAGAAGTATGGTAGAATACTATAAGAGATCACCTATGTAAGTGCGAAAAGTTGATGCTTTTTATGAGAATTTTGAGGCTTAAATTCTTTAAAATCACTTATGAAACCAAAAGTTGTTGAGGGCCAAAATGAACAAAGCCATGACAATTGAATTTGTAAGGAATGTCATGATATTGGTACAATTGTCTTGATTTACACCAACGGTTGACCAGTTCAAAATATCATATACACTGATTAGCCCAATAAATTCGATTATATTCCACTAAGGAAGGTTCAAAGTCCAAAACCACCTCTACTTATGCTAAAGCTTATTGTTTGTACTCTTTTTTAGATACTGCCTTTCATATGCATATTGGTAATTTCCATTCATGTAGGAGATTATTCAAAAATAGTTAATAAAAGTTGATTTTTATCAATGTTTGATTGAATATTTGTATGGATGCCGCTACACAAATTTGGTGAAAATGGATCAAACACGTTCTACTCCTTGAGTAGATGAGGTTGGTATTTTTGGATGTCAAAAATTACTTTTGAATGAATGAGGAATTAGTCAATAAATTAAGGTTGATAAATAATGATTTTTCAATTAACTAAATGGAAAAACAAAAAAAATTATTGACCACTCAAGCGAACCCCTAAGCCACTGGAAAAAATCACTAAAACGGTCAGGCTGGCACATCCAATGTTCAATGAACTGGTGCAACTTTTCGTGAACGGGTTGATTTTTGGGTGTCTTTCTAGATACAAGCATTCAACCTCTATAAACTGGACCCCTTTATGTTGATTTCATTCGATCCAATTACATGTAATCATAGCATACATTAAATATCAATTTCTTGCAAAAACTTTGCATCAAAGTTTGTTTATTTTTTTTATACAAAAAATAGGACAAAACTTCATTCAGTTCGTTTGTTTCTTGTTATCCAAAGTGCCATTGCAAGAAGTGATCGTTGTATCTTGAGAGACAATTGCCAATCCATTGCCTGTATCCATGCGGGAAAATTCGTTTTAAAGACAAAGAGTTCAACTCTTAAATCGATCTTCTTGCATTCCATTTTCCGTTCTTTGTGTTTGTTCAAGTTTGTATCCAATTTCTGGGTAAGTTTGCATTACCGTTTATTTCCTTGAAAAAATAAATCATTCCATCAATATTTTGGTAACAAATTAAAAAAAAAAAATTGACCTAGAACGCTTAGATATGCTAGAAAGTTCAACTAACGTGATACAGTATCAAGTTCAAATTTTATACGTTACCAAGTTTACATTCTAGATTTCACTTTAACCAATTTGACCTTACGTGCGAAATTAATCTAACTAAAGCAACAAGTCACTTTAATTAGTTGTCCAGGTGATTAATCATACAAGTCAATTAACCTATGTTGGAATGCCGCAATTTGTATATTATGCAAAGCAATAAATAACAAACAATATGATAATGGAGAAATCCCAACGTGGGTAAAACTCCGGAACCAAGCCAGTTACCTCCACTATACCAATTCAGCAAGTACAAGTTATACCAAACTCTGTATCCAATCAGACCCACTATTCCAGTCTCACGATCTACTGGTGTAGATACTTCTAGCCTCTTGCTAGACTTCCTGATCTACCTTCTGCAGCCCAATCTGCTATCCACTACAACCTCTTGGTCCTTAGCTGATTGTATCACCAAGTGAAACACCAAGAACTGTCCGTTCTTGTGCTTGTAATTGTGCCTCAATCCACCTCTCTCAATCCTCCAATGAGAGAGTCCCTTCCTCAATAGATTAAGGAAGTAGGGTGTTTTGGGTTATGTAAATTCAATGTTTTTATCCAAAACAATGGTTTCCAGATTACAAAATTGATGTAGATGAAATCTCCAATTAATTGCGCCTTGGATCTCTTCAAAGATGTTATGAATATCTTTTGCAATGAAAGAATAATGTAGCAACCTTTTCAATTTCGTCCTAAGGTTTGAGTATTTATATTTGAAGGTGTCTAGGTGGTATGGGACAAGTAAAACACTTCAAAAATGCGAAATAGGGTTTTTGCCTCATAGGAGTGTCGCAAGAGTGAGAGCCAGCGAGAATCGAGCGAGAGGTATTCTATTTTTTTCGCTCGAGCGAAATATCAGCGAGAAGCGAGCGACAGTGAGAAATCGTCAGTATTTTCATCATAACTTTCTCTTCTAATACCCGTTTGAGGTGATTCAAGTTTAGATGGAAAGATAACTCAAAGGGCTACAATTCTTCTAGAGGTAGCCTTGTCCAAATTCCAACGTTTTACATGTGAAAAATGCGTTGCAATTTATGACTGAAAATTCGGAACATAATTTGTGCGGCTCTTTGATATCCTTTAGATTTCCAATTGCATTCCGATGATCTTGTGTGATCTTCTTGGACATCTTGGACTCCTTCAACTACTCGAACACTAATTTACCTCATATATACAAATTGCACCCTAAGTCTCAGGCTTTTACACCAGTGTTCAATGAAGTCCCTGACTTTTACTATTATACAATTTAACTTGTTTTGTCCAAAGAATTGTCAATTACACTTTTAGACCTAACAAAAATATCTATAATTAAATCGAAAATTATTTTACAGTTGCAATTATCTTTTTGACCCATGTTATAATTGCATGTTATATTTCCAAAAGAGACTTTAAAGTTTAAAATATCGAGAGGGTAGAAAGATAATTTTATAGCCAACAAATTGAATAATAATAATAATAATAATAATAATAATAATTATTATTATTATTATTATTATTATTATTATTATTATTATTATTATTATTATTATTATTATTATTATTTTGACCTGACACATTATTTTTCAACCATTTTAGTGGCAGTTGGGCTAGTTATTGCAAACAAATTGGACAAGTTTCAAAGAAAAGGGAAAATAATTAGACTTGGTTAACTGATCAGACTAATATCTATACAACACATAATGCATGAGGATGCAGCCTATGACTTTTAGGGATGACAATAGGGCAGGTATGAGATGGGTCGACCATTCTGGTCCTCCATCTCGTCGGATATTATTGCCATCTTACATTGCACGTCGATATCCAATTAAAACGGGGCGGGGCAGTATCACTCTTTTTTATTATTATTTTTTATGTCTTTAATTAGTGAATATTTTTTTTTTCCAATTTGTTAATAATAACACATGTTTTCTTTAAAAATGATGATAAATCTTTTATTTTGTTTTATAAAAAATTTAAAATTGAAATTAATTTTAAATGGGATGGATAATGGGACGGTGACTATATTTTTGGTACCCGTCACATACCCGCTTCAGAACTATGACCCTCATCACATTCCTGTCCTGGTTACTCGATTAGGCGGGTAATTTCCATCCCATTCGGGGTAGGGCCCACAAGTCTCGAGTTGAATGAATTTTTCTGCCTTCCCTAAACCAACTCTGTATGGTTGAATATAAAATTATTATAAAAGACATAATTCTCTCTACTTACCTAACTTTTTATATGAATCTGTTAACATGGTATTATATGTGAGCTTTTAATGAAGTAGAACCACTTTTGGGCAGCCATTAATGGCCATCCCAACGTTCATGTCCCTTATCTAACACAAGATTGATTCAGTAACTAGGTATATATTAATTCTGAGATAAAATTAAGATTAAAAATTTCAGTTTTTTGCTAAAATGGGATTTTTGTTGCTTTTATCATATGCATTGGCCATTGGCTTGAGGGCTGTAAATTCTCAAGATGCACCACACTTGTGCCTGCTGTCATTTTGTTACGTCATGCAATTAAATTAATAAGTGACATTCTTAGTTGAATTATGTAGTTCCAATTTCCTAATAAAAATGTTATGATTTCTGATTAAAATTTTCTTTAAAATTTTCAAAGCAATTTGTGGAAAACACATATTTGTTAAATATAGGAAACGGTTTCAAGATTCTAAATTAAGATCCAAAAAAGAATGAATATACTCTCTATTTGACCACATAGAAATAACTGTCTTTAGAATATAAACCAGCCATCTTCTCTATAAATAAGAACATTGAGTTGTTACAAAAACACAAACAAACTTTCTTTTGTTCTTCCTAAACAGCAAACTGAAGAAATATGGCAAGACTTATCCAAGTTTCAATTCTTTTCGTTATAGCTTTATGCTTCTTGTCTCTCCTTGACATTGTCAACTCGGAAGACGTTCCCCAACCACCAGTTTCTCAATTCCACATTCAAGGACAAGTTTATTGTGACACATGCCGTGCTCGATTCATTACTGAACTGAGCGAGTTCATACCAGGTACATAAGTATAATCCATACAAAATGCTACTCATATTGCATCTTGTCCCAATAGTTGTATAATTTCGGCTAAATCTAAATTTGTTGCTTCAATTGTGACTGAACTTCCTTAGATAACAGTTTATGAGGTAGTTAAGCATGCTTCTAGAGAACAAGCATCTAGTATTGCACTTATTAGGTGCATAAGCCACATACATGAGAAGACATGTTACGAACTAAATTGAAAGATGCTTTAAACTTCATTTCACATATATTTCTCTTTCATATTTACAACATGGGTATGCAATAATAACAATATAAATCCTATCTCAGTATTCCGATGAAATGAATGCTTGCATATAAAATTTTCTTCACTATGTATTCATGCATCTTCTTTATGGTGGTGTTGTTGTAGAACTCAATTAGAATATAAATAATTCATAATTTATAATATAATATTGGCCCGTAGGTGCCAGTGTACGCCTCCAGTGCAAAGACGGAGAGAATGGGAGCATAACATTTACTGAGGTAGGTTACACGAGAGCGGAAGGACTCTATAGCATGCTTATTGAACGCGATCACAAGGATGAGTTTTGCGAAATCACACTAATTTCAAGTAGCAGAAAAGATTGTGATGAAATCCCCGTTGAAGGATGGGTAAAACCATCATTGAAATTTATGCTCAACACAGTAAATGGTACTACACGTACGATAAATCCTCTTGGATTCTTTAAGAAAGAAGCTCTTCCAAAATGTCCACAAGTTTTTAATAAGTTGGGTATGTATCCCCCAGATATATGAAGAACAAAAAGAATACGTTAGTTGAATAATTATGTGCGCCTTTTTGTCAAGGCTTTTGATGGCCTAATTAGAGTGCCCTGTTTAGTTTAGAATAATTTTGCTTTGTAATTTCTATAAATTCCCAAGAATTTTCTTGTGGAAAGACAATAAAATTTCTATAAAAAGAAGATGTTAAGTTGAATAATTATGTGTGCGTTTTGTCAAGGCTTTTGATGGCCTAACTAGAATGCCTTAAGTGTATTTTTTGCTTTGTAATTTCTGTAAATTCCCCAGAAATTTCCTGTGAAAAAATACTAAATTGTAGATTATGAGATAATTAATAAATGCAAAACATATTGTAATTTTTTTTTTATTTTTTGCATTTTAATCTACTGTTCATTTACTAGGATGAAAAAATAAAATTACATCGAAAGAGGTGCTTTACCTCTTTAAATCTAGTAAAAATAATCTAGTAAAAATTCATTTAGTAAAAAAAATTTATTTTTTGTTATTATTTAGTAAAAATTTATTTAGTAAAAAAAATTTATTTTTTGTTATTATTTAGTAAAAAATTTATTTAGTAAAAATAATCTAGTAAAAATTTATTTAGTAAAAATAATCTAGTAAAAAATTCTAGTCAAAAAAATAATCGAACTTTAAATCTAGTAAAAATTTATTTTTTGTTATTATTGAAAGATTGATGAAATTGCAAATATTCCAATACTTGTAAATTGAGTATCTCAATAAACTACCGATATTTCTTTTAAGTATTTGAAAAATATATCTCTTATAGTTCATTAAACAATTATATTAGGTTTAAATTTGTATGAGAATGTCATAGGCACACGATCGAATAATAGAATGAACAAGATTTATGTCACTTAAAGTGGTCTTGTAAAGTGTTTGGGACTTTATTTCCTCTTTTTCCCATTCCCTGTGTATTTTTGTCATGAAAGAAGAACAAAAGGCTTCATTTTACACATTTGATTAATAACAGAAACCACATATTAAAGTTTCCAAATATCTCTTTATTTCAATTCAAGTTTGCTTAAGAAAGAATACCTTGTGCGGTTGCATTTCAAACAATTAAGAAGATGCTTCCAAAATTCACAAATAATCTTCCATTATTACAAGCATACGAATACAAGATTGCATTTCAAACAAGTAAGGCAGTGCTTCAAAAATTCACAGATAATCTTCCACTAGTACAAGCATACGAATACAAGAAACCATTATATGTACATACGAATTCCTAACAAATTCTGTGAGAGAAGATTAGGATCAAGAAGATTTTTCTTTAGTTGTGTTGCATTTTGACGCACAACAAATCTCGACGATAATGTTAAAACGATATTAGATAAGTTATATCAATATCTTAATGATCACTCGACCCAAAAATAACTTGAGCCACTAGAAGCAAAGTAATTAAGTTAATGTGGCTCGTGGTTCAACACTTTGAATAGCCCATGTTGTGGTTGAATATGTTGGATGGTGATGTGGCCCAATTCACGTTAGTTGTGGCCTTTGTTGTAATAGTCCATCGGCCTTGGTTTACTTGGCCCAATTTTTTATTTCTTGGCCCAAGTTGGTGACCTAACCTAATTGGCGTGATTGGAGTTCAACCATTGCTTCTTCTTTCTTCCTTTTCCCTTTGTGATATTGCTACCACCACCCATATCCTTTATGGTTTAGAAACTTGTGGCAACCAAGAGGGTAAAGTTATAGGTTGAGTTGATCTCGATTAGTGTTGATTTGGTGAATAAACTAAGCCCGGATTCAAGATTTCTACAACTTCTACCCAGTAAACGTATAAGAGCACATGGTGATCAGAAATCTATGATTTGTTGATGCATACATCACTTGATATCAACCAGGAATGAAGCTCGAAACATTTTAGAAAACTGTCCAGTTTTCTTTCAAACTACTGGAGCTTTAAACATGACCATGGTGCTTGCAATGGCACGTGGCCTTTCCAATGATAGTGTGTGTAAGCATGTGAAGCTATTTTCGACGGTGGTTTTTTTAGATAGATTGCTTCAGGAGGTGCAACGAACTTTGTAGGTGTCTATTTTCTATTTAGAGCGATATGTTGAAATTTGGATGATTTTGCCCTTGGTCGTTGGGGTGTCGATTGTCGGTTCTTGGTTGCCATAAATTCTTTGTGGACTTCTTAAGCTTTGGTGTTGTATTAACCTTGTGGTGTGTGGGTCCATTTAAATTGAGCCATAACCTTTGTGATCGTCAAACATGTCGATTTTCCATAGTGGGTTTGAAATGCGTTAGTAGTAAATGTGTTGTTGGTCTTTTGGTAATATGGAGTATAAATGCCTGAGGATGAATTGATGATATACACAAGGATGTGGAGAGTGACATTTGGATCATGAGTGGGGATGTGAATATATATTTGGAATCTTCTATCTGTAAAAGACCCTATACAAGTAGAGCATGAAAGACACTTCTATCACTTCTGTTAGAAGAAAACCCGTTATCCACTAAAATTGAGAAAAGTGAGGTAATGATAGAGAATTATGTCATGGACTTAAGTTCTATTGTAGTTTTCCAATTAGACATGAGTTAGGGACTAGTCTAGTGAGCATGATGGCACGATGAGAGGACATATGTGTGATAAGTGCATTTTGTGCACTTATTCGGACTACATAACTAGATTTTTATGTCGTCAAACTATTAATTTTTACCTAACTTATGTTAATTTTCCTTTGTTTTTAGTTATGGACCCGTTTTGAAGCATTTGGAAAAGAAAATAATCAATTGGCTATTAAATTGAGTTTGTGGACAAAATCTCATGGAATAAAAGATGGATGATCAAAATTGATGAGAAAATGAAGAGAAGGACTAACTTGCATTACATGAAAGAATTGAGTACACAAAACTTATTGGCTTATGGGAATGAAAAAAATAAAATAAAGGAATCTGTCGGCTGAAGGAAGTGGAAATAAAAGGGAGCATTGGGCCTTAGTTTGGATCTGATTTGGAATAAAATTCAATAAAGACTTGGGCTCCTAATTTGTATACAGAACAAGGACTTTATTGTCTATGTATATATACACATGCAGTCGAGAGAAAGGAGGAGCCGGGGGGGAGGAGCAAACTAAATTCATAAACACAGATAGAAAATGGCAAGAAGGAGGCTACTGTGGGAGAGAATTGAAATCCCCTCGGGGATTAAATATATAGCAAGCCGAGGTTGGTGGGCGGAAGAAAACATAATATATAGACAAGGAGAAAACCGACAGATTTAGGGGAATTAAAAGGAACAAAAAGCAGGCTGGAATTGGACTCTTTAATTGGCACATTGAGTGGCAGAAAAAAAAAGAGAGAGAATTGCTGGGGCTGAATTGAGTATATTCCACGGCAGAAAGTCGGCTGCAGCTTGGGGTCGAATTGGAATTAAAGAGACAATGGACGGCTGAATTGATAAAGTCGGCAGCTGCTGGGGTTATATATGGTGGACTGCAAGAAGTTATATTTATATATATCCCAACAGAAAACAGCAGCTTGGAGGGCAAGAATTGGGGATTATACAAATACAAACTGAAAGCAGAATTTGGCATCTTTTGGAGAGAGGTTGGCGGCTGCATGGATTTATATGATTCCCACAAAAAGTAGCAGCTTGGAGGATAATACATTCGCATACAAAGTCGGCGGCTGCAAAATAAGTTTGAGGAATCATTCACGTTTGGTCAATTTTTGGTGATATTTTTCCACTTTTCTTCGTTTAATTTCAACATTATACTTGGCTAGATTATTTTATGCTAGGATTTACGATGAATTTTTAATCTTGAATTTTATTTATTTGACGTTAAAACATGTTTTTAATTACTGAATATTTGACATGGATTTTCTCTACAATTATATGCGTAATAGTTGTATGAGATTTGTTGCTTGTTTTACCCTCGAGAGATGAAAAATAAGTTAGACATTATGTTAATTGTCGTAAAGTCCGATAGGGGATAGAAATATACCGCTATGCTTTACGTGATCTTTAAGTATTCATAAAACTTTAATGCATTTTTATATGTTCGCATTCGTCATAGAAATATAGTCGGATCGCATATGAACATAGGTTTAATTCTACTCGAGAGAGACTGTTAAACAAATTAGGAATATTGGTCTTCATAATTGAATCTTATTGTCAATTTTATAAAATTCGGATTAAAGGGGATTGATATAAGGGGATTCGGGATTCTAGTACGCATTTTGTTAACATATTTTTATAAAACTTGCATTTAGTTATAATCACGAATTTAATTCAGTTAATTTAGGTTTTATATTTATAAGTAGGTTATTAAATCATAATTTAGTTAGCGAAAATATCAAAAATTTCTATTGTTTCAGTTAAGGCGAAGATAATTTAAATTTAAACTAGTACAATCTCTTTGGGATGATACTTGGACTCAACAGGTCCACTTTATTACTTGAACACGACACTGCACTTGCGATGTAGGAAATCGGCGAACAAGTTTTTGACGTCGTTGCCGAGGATTGTATTTTAGTTTAATTTCATTTATCTTGGCGCTAATTCGAAATTTTATTATTATTATTATTATTATTATTATTATTATTATTATTATTATTATTATTTTAATTTATTTTATTTTATTATTACGATTATTTTAGCACTTTTATTTTCTCTTGCATTTTATGCGAAATTCAAGGGACGGTGAATTGATACCAAGTGATTCAAAAATTGAACGTACTTTTCACCATAGGCAAAGAGAAGTAAAAGAAATAAAACAACAAGAGATGGCCAACGGACAAAATAATCCAATTATTCAAGTGAACAAAGAAGCAGTCGTTAATGAAGGGAACATGCTAGTTGGGGACTTCATGATTCCACAAATTATTCAGAGCCAATCTAGCATCGTTTATCCTCTATTTGGACAACCAAACTTTTAGCTGAAGACCAATGTCATTCATTTATTTCAAAATGGATATCAATTTTATGGCAAGGCCGATGAAAGTCAACATACACATGTCTCTCGATTTTTGGAGATGTGTCAACACTTTAAATATTAAGGAATTTCAGATGATGTAATCAAATTGAAATTATTTCCACATACTCTACGGGATAGAGCGCTTGAATGGTTAGATTCACAGCCTATTACTAGTATCACCACTTGGAATGACTTGGCTAAAAAATTTTGCACCAAATTCTTCCCACCAACTAAGATTGCGAAGTTGAAGCATGACTATCCATATTTCAGCAGGGAAGAACCGAATCCTTTGATGAAGCTTGGAATAGATTCAAGAACATGCTTTGGAAGTGCCCTCATCATGGCATCAGTAAAGGGCTTCAGATCCAATATTTTTATGCAGGTCTACTTCCATCTTATAAAAGCAT